CACGTGATCATAATCATCATCTATCAAGATCATGTGCGTACGGATCTATTTTTTTCTAAAATGTCCTCAAATTCGGAAAATAGCGATTCCTCTTCCACCGGGGAAAAGATCAACGTTCAAGAAATTAATGACTACTTGGGTGATTTTCTCCAGACATCTCAGCCAATTTACGACCCCAAGGCGGCCGAAAACATTGCCAAAGAAAATCCAAGAATTCGACGCGCCCACGAATCTTCACCACCACTTCCGTCTAAGCTTAACGATTTTCTTAACTCGTTTCGTGAAATCTTTGATGATCCAATTGGCACTTTGAAAAAATTTGGAACGAAATCTCCTGTCAAAAAGGTAGACGATGATATCTTACATGAAGATCCGGACAACGAAAGTCTGGAAGCAAAGCGGCAACACATTTTAAGTAAAAAGGATATCAAAGATATTGGTCAAGTATATTTGGATAGAAAAAAAGAAATTTATGATGCATCGTTAATCAATTGCGCGGAACTTCATTCGGAATTAACGAATTGTTTTAGAAACGGATCCCTCAAGGACAGATTTACATTATGTCATAATGCGAGAGACAAATTTTGGAATTGCATGGAACAACAAAAGGTTTGCCGTCTCGTTTGATAATTATTTACCACACGTCGACGCGTTTTCATAATTCGCATCAATTAAACCCATCTAGAAATTGTTGTTTGAAATGGGATATAAAGCGCACAATAAAACTGAAGAGGAAAACGAAGAAATCTTGAATCAAGCTGACATTCGTTTTCAACAAGAATTCGTAAAAAGTTGAAAAAACAAAGAACTTTTATATACCGATTTCAATAAAATATTTGACGTTGGGCACTTCATGAGCTGCACAAGTTTTATTATTATAATCTTCTTGCCTTTTTTGGCCTGCACCCGTTAAACGGGAGCGGCGTGGTATCCGTGATTCGTTTAACATTCCATGAGTTATCGGACGAAGCGATTGCCTTGAAAGCAGCATCTCTGCCCGGTCCAAAACCGTTAACTAAAATTTCAACATTTCTAACATTAATCCTTTTATCCTTGATCTTTTCAATCA